GAGGTTTCAGAATTATAATCCGACATCCAAACAAACAGACACGCACACAGACAAACAAACAGAGATTACATAAAGATACATAGATTTATACATACAAAATGATTGAGAAAGAAAACCGTGATAAGCGTTGTTTTAAACAGCTCTATTTTCTTTGCAGGGTTTATATCTTAGACTAAAATAATTTAAATGTAGGTAACAAATGCAAATTTTTCATTTGGTTTAATTTATTTCAATATTTTTCCAACCCATAACATGAACGCTTCAAATAATTGTAAACTGTTAATTTGCTAAACCCTTTTTTTTACCCACCCTGTATTATGTATTTATTACTCCAATACAATTAGAATAAAATATTAATTAAATAACCAATTTAATGATTTTAGAATGTTATATTTTTACTTTTTAAAACAGATCTGTATTTTTAGAGCATAAAATATGACACATTTTTAAACTGGCAGTATATGATGATTAGTAAAAAATAAAGAGGTTAAAGAAATCTATTACGGTATTAGTATCTTATTAAACTCTCCTCTTTAAAATATGTAAATTAGAAGTTCATATTTTAGTTTACATATTCAAGTGTTTACTGCTTATATTTATATTTTGCATTTTCCATGTGCTCCGGCAGAATTACTAAATTATATTTTTTAAATATTTATCAAGGTCGTTCAAAGGCCATATGAGTTAATAACATTTTATTCAAATTATTTGCGTAAAAATGATTATTCCGATAAAATAGTGGACTACTTTTAGGGAAGGGCTTTTGATTTACTGATTTTTTTTCAATAATTTGGTCAATCTTATCGTTAAATAAACCAAAGGAGCTTATTTATTTAACGTGAAAATTCAAAAACCCTTTTTTCTATTTTTTAATAAGTTTTTATTCTTCATCATAAAAAATATCCTTTCCTAAAAACACTTTTTGTTATTCCTAAAAGCATTATCTTGGATTAATGCATTAAGCCTAATTCTATGAAAGATCGAATGGTCTTTGGTAGTTAAGATTACAGAATTATATATAGTTTTTTTTGACAGTTTGGTTATGGTCGTTACAATAGTATTTCTGACAAAATTGTCTGAAATTATATTAAAAAATAAAAAATAAAATAGTTTTTAAATAAGTAATGGCAAATATCTATAGCCCACACAGATTCAGCACACTGCAAACCAAGATGTGCACGCTCTCAAACAAAAATCGAGCCGTATTTTGTCGAATACATTTAAACTTTAAAACTTAAAGGGACTGTAAAGGAAAAATGAAAGGGGGTATAGGCTGAAAGCTAATCACTTTAGCTCTTGATCGCGACCCATGAAAGTTTTATCTGATGTTCCTGTCTCGAGAAAGTGATTAAATCGCTTTCAGTCTATACCCCCTTTCATTTTTCCTTTACAGTCCCTTTAAGCTGGGAATTTATATGTCTGGGCCACAACAAATGTGAGTTGGTGCGGTAACGCTAAATGCCCAGGCATTGTGACACTTTAAAGTCGAGTGTGTCTAAAAACTAATTTTCAGAGTTGTCTAGATTTCAGTGAACAAGAATGTCCTTCTTTTTACCTTCTCTTTTACCCTTCTCACCACGGAGATAGGTTTCTTGCATCTCAACATTTACTCTGATTTTTTAAGTTTGAATTTCTCTTTACCTCTTTGCTCGAATATACAAAGTGAGTACCAAGGTTACAAAACGCTATAAAAATGTTAGCAGTGTTCGTGTTTTAGGTGGAAAAATAATGAAAAAGGAAAAAGTATTTATTGGTATAACGCGACAAAATCGCAAAACTTTTTTCTTGTTCAGATGCCAAATTGTAACTTTCTATTCCAACAATTTGTTTTTAAAAATGTAATTCATAAAATTAAAGTTTTAAGACCCTTGAATTTTCTAAAACTTTCAGAAGCCTTTATAACCAAACAAAAACTTGAATGTTCACTTATTATCATTAAAATAACATCTGTATTTTTATTTATAACACTGTTATAGCGAGGGACAAAATATGATCTAGAAAGGCGAGAACCTTCTATGATATAGAGAAAATTTAAATGCAAAAACTTTATAGTGTTATAGCTAATTTTTTTAAATTTTTTGTACTTGTATTATTTCAATGGCTATTTCTATAGATCAAATTAGTTTTGAAACAAAGCAGAAGTAAAAAAAAAAAATAAAGTTTATTTCAACTTTATTTTCATTTCAATTGAAAAAAATTATTTTGAAAATCCGGGAACCAATCAAAATTTTATAGCACACGTGCTATAATGTACAGCTAATTTAACTTTATAGCACGTTTATTATGAAACTCACGATGAAGTGAGGAAGAATGATAAAGTGCACAATAGTTTCATAAAAATAATTTTATTAATGATTAAGCTTTTCTTCTAATATTTACATTACCCCCCCCACCAGGGAAATCAACCAAGATTGGATCCGGAAAGAGCAACAGCTGTGAATGATTGAGGGGGGTGGGGAAACATCCTTTAGTATTTATTCCCCCATGACATTACTTCCCCTCCCCCACCCGGTACCCGTATATTCCCCATCTATATACGTATACATTCTCAATTTCCTGGGGATCTATCATATATTATTCGGATACATTAGGTTTATTACAATTTTGTGGTTCGTCGCGCAGCGCGGTAGTTTCTGCTCTACCACATTCTTATATTTATACAGATGCTCGCCTCATCTAGTGCAGACGCTAATAAAAAAGTATGGAGGGGCTACAGAATATAATAAAATAAATAAAATATGTAATATCCATACAAAGATTAAGAAATGGCCTTTTCCTCAAAGTATAACAAAATTGGAAAAAATGTCATGCATTTTTGCTTTGAAGACAATTTTCAAAGAATATATGGCATATTTGAGAAGTTGTAAGAGAACAACCCTGTATATCAAACAAACTCTCTCCTTAGTGTCATTAAAAACAAAACAAAAAAGTTCAATATATTATGTATTTGTAAGTTAGTATTTGTAGAACGCCCATGCAGTAAATAGTATTACTAAATATAATGTCTTTAACAGGCAGTTTGAGCTGCTTGAAAATGCCTGTTTTTAATTATAAACCTGGCTTCCAGATTAGCATGAAGGCCCGTATCTTGCTTTAAATATGATTTGCTATTTAAATTCAAGTTTTCGAGGTCCAATTAAATCAAAGCACTGTCAAAATGAATTGCATTATTAACAAAAAAGCTGGCATTATTTGTTGTTTCAGGCTAAAAATATGTTGTCTTAAATGAAAAAAGTTCTGTAAAATTAAACATATAAGTTACTTTAAGAAACAACAATTTTTTGATGCCATTGCTTTTCTTTTCTTAAATAGCAAATTGTTGTACAGTGAGGGGTTGTACCTTACCAGGCATGTTCAGTATATAAACAGGGTTTACATATAGCATTAATACATTGGATTAACTACAGGAAGTTTAGCTAAGTAGAACACATATAGAACATACACTGTTTACTAAATAAATGCAGTGTATATTAACAAGTGAACTAATATTTATGTTTTCTCATGCAATGACAAAGTTTAGTACATATCGGTAATAAAGTAATGGAATTTAATTCAAAGAAATTGAATTTCTGACACAAACTCTGATTTTCTAAACCCTATATTTTTTAAACACATAATTGTAGACCTTCAATATTTTCAAACTATGATTTATGTTAGATCAAATAATATAAGTTTGAAATATCAAAGGTTTGAACCATTAGGTTGTAAAGATATAGGAGTTATAAATTTTTAGTTTGTGGCAAAAACTCAGTCCCTTTGAATTTAAGATTTTTAACATCCCTAGATTTGACCTATTTTTGACGATAACAATTTAAAAAGTATTTGATCAATCTATATTCAAATAAATTGTATTAATCATATTCCATTGGCAGTGTAAAAAGGGGAATAAAAGTTAAGTAAATTTTTAGTAATATTTTCTAAATCGTCATCGCTAACATTTTACTTTGGGTTTACATTTGTGATTTAGTCTTTAAAGCAATAAACCTGTATTTGATATGTATTGAAATTTCGATGTTTTAAACCTTAGTGTTCTTCTTTATTCTTTATTTTAATTTGATAAAAAAAAATATTTTTTTGCTAGAAGAAAAATGGGACAAATATTGCAAGTTTATAGTTTTAAAGACTTTGGTTTGGCACCGGACTAATAAATACCCTTTATTTTTCCCGTTTTCAACACTTTCTTGTGCCTTTTCAAATAAGTGCACAATTAAGCATCAGAACACAGACAAATTCTAGAGAAAACGCAAATTCTAAAAGACAACAATTGTCCAGACCATTTGTAAATGAAAGACGGAATTTTGAGTGTAAAAACAGGATTCGAATAGAATAATATGGATGAAATCAATAGATCTCTAATGCCATTGTTTATCAAATAGTTTGACTAAAAATTATTTCACCAGTTATATTTGAGACTAGTGTTCAATATACTTTCATAAACTGATAGAATTACATTTAAAAGATTACATTATGAGCAACATTTGTTTATATAACGACTAAAATTGACTTGATTTTGAAGAAAAATACGGAACCAAAAGAGATATTAGCTTTGTCAAAATCGAATTGTCAAACACAGGATATAAAACATTTAAAACTTTTCAATCTATGATATGATATAATGCCCTTTAAACGTTCAGTAAACATTGATATGACTAAAAATTAAGAATGCTTATTCTTGAAATCTTGATTTATAACTGACAGATAAGTACCATTAAGGCCATTCATACAAAGTTTTTTTTTCATGGGATCGAAAATGTTTTAGTTTTTGATTTTCACCCTGTGAAAAGATATGCTATAATTATATTAATACAAGACCATCACCATAATTTAGAAAAATAGACCCCCCCCCATACATTCATGAAAAAACTGTATATATAATAGCTACTTTCAATTTTACATAAAAGAATATAAAAAATATAATCTTGAAGCGCATTCACCAGATTTATCCTTCCAACATCCTTAGGTGGTAAATTTGAGGTACATTGTGCATTTCTTGTTTTTCATTTTTTTTTCGGCAACAAAACTAATTGGTTACTTTATCAAGGAAACATGTTTTGCTTTATATACGCGGCTAAACAACTCTTACGAAAACTTTTTTTTGGAAAAAGAGGCCTCAAAATTTGATACGTGTTTTTCAAATTCATACGTTAAAATTGTCAATTGGCAGATAGTTTCTTATTATTTAATCAGTTGATGAACTGTGTAATCTGTAAGTTAGATAGATAGAGAATATTTCTAGTTCAGTCTGATGACTTCCTCTTTTATTAGCCGCAGCTCATTATAATCCGCTACATTCAACCTCGTTGATTTCGCCGATTTTTGGCACGTCGACGAATTGGTAGACTAGCCGTTGTCCGTCAACCTTTGCGAGTATTCCACGCTGATAGTAATACCTGAAATAAGAGTATTTATGCATCAACCATTTCTTAGAATACAGTTATTTAATTTTCTAATCCTTTTATATTTACCATTTTCATAATATAAAGGAATTGAGTATTTGTCACAAACTCAAACTTTGCAGCCTGATAGTCTAAACCTTTGATATTTCAAATAAGATTATTTGATCTAACAGAATTTACAGTTTGAAAAATCAAAGGTTTTATGATATAGGGATAACAAATTTAAAGTTTGTGGCAAAGACTCAATTTCTTTAGATTATTTGATCTAATAGAATATAGAATTCATAGTTAAAAAAGCTAAGGTCTGTGACATTGGGTTCCAATGATGTATAGAGATTTAAAATAAGAGTTTGTGACAAAAATTCAATTCCTTTTTAGTTAGAAAACAACATTTTTTTAATGTTTATCAAGGTTTATTCAATATTCAGGCATAATGCATAATGTTGATTTAATTGCAACAAATAGACAAAAATGTTATTATTATTGGAGCCAAGTAGCGTCCTTATATTATTGGAGCCAAGTAGCGTCCTTATATTATTGGAGCCAAGTAGCGTCCTTATATTATTGGAGCCAAGTAGCGTCCTTATATTATTGGAGCCAAGTAGCGTCCTTATATTATTGGAGCCAAGTAGCGTCCTTATATTATTGGAGCCAAGTAGCGTCCTTATATTATTGGAGCCAAGTAGCGTCCTTATATTATTGGAGCCAAGTAGCGTCCTTATATTATTGGAGCCAAGTAGCGTCCTTATATTATTGGAGCCAAGTAGCGTCCTTATATTATTGGAGCCAAGTAGCGTCCTTATATTCAAATTTAGATTTGTGCCTAACACATAATCTGTTAAAAGATCTATAGTAAAGCTATCATCCAGACAAGATAAGGGTAGATATTAAAGAACCCCAGTGCTTTCTGAATATGTCAGTACACACGATACTAGAAATCCATTTCTTAAAGTACATTAGGGCACGTCAAGCATATGGCCCTAGTGAGAACTTCGCAAACAAATTTCAAATTAAAAAAATATTATCAAATTTTTTTTCAATTGCGAGCTGAGAGCCTGAGAGCTATTTTTAGGAAATAAAAGATCTTAAAAAAATCCCTAGTAGGACCGAAAAAAGTCTTTAAAATGCATCGATATGGGTGACAAAATTTGTATCTCCTCTTGCCGCTGAATACTGTTATTTTTATTTTTATTTGGGGATACTATTTATTAAACTGTTAGATTTTTGCCCAAATTGTTTGAGACTCTTAGTGGAAAAAAACGACACACCCTAAGGTACAAATCAATGATTCTCCTTTCACTAATATATTTCTTTCACCATTTTACTCTTAAATTATCAAAAAGGAAAATCCACAATGTGGTTCTACCCTCTCCCTTTAATACTGTTTAGCTTTCCACGAATAAACTCAATTTTATATGTTAGTGAAGGAATCAAGTCTTTGCTACAAACTCTGATGTTCTAAAATCCCTATATCCCTGTCGTAAACCTTAGATACGTCATGAATACTGTTAGATCAAATAACCTAAGTTTGAAATATCAAAGGTTTACACCGTCAGGTTGCAATGATATAGGGTTTAGAAAACTTGAGTTTGTGGCAAAGATTTATTTAATCTTGTTAGGCATGGAAAGTCTCAGACAGTAGTGGCATTAATGAAATAATAGACTTTTTAGAGCTGCTCCTTATCTGAAAAAAAAGTTTAACATCAAAATAACATCGCTTAACTTCGTAAATTTTATAAAGTCTCCCTGTACAGTGTACTGTGTACCCCCCTTTTAAATTTGCAAATCACTCTTTTAATGTTACCTCAGAGCTCTTCCCATAGTCTCATAGTTCATATCTGGTTTATTCTTGTGTAGTCCCCAGAGTCTGCTCACTGCTTTACTATCCACTAATTTAAATATTCCTTGTTCTCTGTTACTCCACTTGATATACTTCGGACAACACTCCTTATCCTAAAATAAATACTTTGTCAAACACGAAGGCGACATTCAGAACCCTGGTCGCACAGATCGGAATGTAGGAAAATGCCAATCCCGCCAAAATTCCGGTTCCCACCAGCCTTTTACGCTCTAAGAAATACAAATCCTGAACTTCAAACATAAAGAACCTGACATTTAAACTGAAACAGGATCTCCATAGTTTCCACTAATTTTGTGTGCTCCTTTTACCTGCAGAAGTTTGAGTAAAAACTCCCAAAGATACGTCGTCGTTCCCTCCCTTGATCTTCGTTTGGGTTGAAGACCGGACTCCAGGCTTCCTCTGGCCAGCCTCGAGGTCTTCTTTTTCTTCATCTTCAAACTGTTCTGGAAGTTAACGAATGGTTGGAAAGGGTTGGACTCTTCGCATGATGATGAGGTAGGGATGAAGGATGGAGGGCTCGAGGTTCGGAGGTGGGAAAGGAGGGAGGAGGGGGGAAAGGAGGAGAGGAGGGAGGGATGCAGACCTCGATACCCAAACACAGAATGTAGATGATCCGCTACTAAAATAATGAAAGTATGTATAGGGTCAATAAAGGGGGTCCAATAAACAATTAAAATATACACAGTTGCCAAAAACTTATCCCATAAAAACAAAAAAGTTTGAGATTATATTGCAAATAATCTTCGATATCTTTATTTAATTAAACTGCAAAACGTTTTTATGTTCCACAATGCATTTGTGAAAGAGAAAAAAAATCATAAGAAAACATGCTATGAATTGAGATGAAACTCAAGATTTTGCAGCAAATAATAACTTTTTGGAAATTTTTAGCTAAGTGGATGACAAATTAAATTTATTATTTGTAATCTAAGACTTTAATTTTGTATTTGCATAAAAATGATTTAAAATTATTTAGTTCAAAAAATAAAATAAAATATTATTTATCTAAATAAGAAGAATTTCTTTACGTCTGTAAGACCGCCAACATGGTGGAAAGAATTCAGTTATCTAAACTACTATATACATGGTTAGGGGGCCCTAGAGAGGTTTTTTGGGCTGGGCCTTTCGAATACATTATAGGCATGGGCGTGGGAGCGTGATTAAGAAGATTTAGAAGAGTGGGGACGGGTGAGGGGGGGGGGATGCTGCATACTAAACTTCATGGCTTTTAACTATAGAATAAAATTTCTTGCACTTTATGATTTTTAATTTATTTATGCCCTTCAAGTTTTCTTCGTCGTTTTAAAAATTTTGTTTTGCCTTTACTCTACATATAAATTTCAATCAATCTCTCGATCCATACTTTTAAATTTTAGAATTATTTTTCTTAGATCCTTTAAAGTGATTCAAGTTTTTGTTTTGAATATATCTTTTTCTTCTTTTCTATCTCTCGTTCTATCTGTCTATCTTTCATTTGAAGAATACGTTTAACTCGTAAGATAGATTTCCGTTGAGCAATTATCCAAATAGTATGGGGGCGATTATATTTCTAGTTTATAAATACACACACATTCATTACATTTTATATATTTTACCTTTTTGGGTTAAATTTTTTTTATCAGTGAAGCAAATGTGTACAGAGGAATACATATCATATATATATGATGCTTGCTTGTCTGCCTGTTTCTATCCAAAACGGCTGAACCTAGGGGGACCGTCAAATTTAAATAATTTTGCCCGGAACAAAATGTCAAGAATAATTTTTCTAAAAAATGTTTCAATTGATATGTAAAAATTCGCGAAATTTGAGAATGATAAAAATGGCCACTTTCAGAGCAATTAGTTAAAAGCTGAAATAGTAAATAGGAAACAAGAATAGTCCTGAAAGTCTATAATTATTGTAAATATGTTTGTTTACCTGATGGTGGAGAATAGGGTTGATACAGATGGTGCAGTAGACCAGGATGAATTTGACTAGAAATATCTTCACCTAAAAATTAATTAATAAAAAATAAAATATGTTTTTAAAGAAGGAAGCAAAAACATGGTATATGGAATATGAAAAAAATATGATTGTTTAAAGTATAAACTCACTTTTAATTCTTGATTTTGTCTCATCGTCTGGCTGAGGTGAGGAAGACGATGGTTCCACGTCACTAACTCCTGAATCCGCCGGACTAGGAGGATGGGAACCTAAATATTATCCAACTTTTTTCAATTTACAAATTTAACTCAATAAAAGCAACTTACGTTTGTTTGGTTTTGGTCTCGATAAAACCAACTTTTCTGTCAGTGTACTGCAAAACACTACAGTACGCAGTAAAAGCTAAGTTTAATTGGTTAATAGAATGTTTAATAATAAGCTAGACAAATGACGATGTCTTCCTAAATGATAAATATTGAAAGAGAACTATTGTGAATCGGCATATCCGTAATGTAAATAGAAGGTGACTTGAAATAAAAATGACAGTTCCTTCGCACGACCCTGAAAGGGGTTTAAAGATATTAGAAAATAGAATTTAACAATGAAAACTATGTAGTGCAGTTTCATGAGTTGCAAGTTTAACCAAATAAATCTGCAGAAGGGTCTTGTTCTTTCAAGTCTCTCCATTAAACATTGAATGAAGAACGCTCGTGTTTAATAGAAATGTATCTTTAGTCTACTAAAAATTCTCATACAAACAATAAATAAATTTTTCAAAAATACATTCTTCCAAACCTTTTCCTACTTTTTCTTCTTTTTGGCCTTTTTCAAGTTTTCTAGGATCTTAATGTTACTTTCTACTGAACAATGTTGATACAATGTATTGTATAGGTATTTCATTTTTACAAAAGGTTAAAAAATCTGGACTTAAAAAAAGTGTGTTCCAAGGCCATACTCCAGTGCATAAAACTGGTTTCTCAGAGTATTGCATATTCATGTTTTTGTAAGAGTTGGGCTTGCAGAAATCTAAGAAGGATTATATATAGTGCAGTAGAGTTATTCAGTCAGCATTCTTTTAAATTCATCTTATTCAAGAATTCTTAACTAGGGAATTAGACGAACACTTTCACACTTTTACCTCTTACCCCCCCCCCACCACCGTTTCTCTCCGCTTTACTCCTTTTATCCGACCCCCTTCTCTTCTTTTCCAGACTTTTTCTTTAATTTTCTCCTTTCCTCTTTCTCTAATACTTACTCTGATAAATGTAAAAGTTGCAACATTCGTATATTTTTACTTCGGTTCACTTTTTATTTATTATTCTTATATCCATCCTTAAAACTCTTTTTTTTTGTTATTCCTCTTTATTTGTTTCTATTCTAGCTGAGTTACGGAGTTATATAATCGTTCTACAGAGGAAGCTGTAAACTAAACCTCAGTAAACTCTGTAAAATAAAAGTAAAAACAGAACAAACTAGACTCATTAGGACGATAGGAGGAGAAACTAGATTCATTAGGACGATATAATTAGGACGATAGGAGGAGAAAGAAACTAGACTCATCAGGACGGTATAATTAGGAAGTAGTAGGAGAAAATAGACTCATTAGGACGATATAATTAGGAAGTAGTAGGAGAAAATAGACTCATTAGGACGATATAATTAGGAAGTAGGAGGAGAAACTAGACTCATTAGGACGATAAAATTAGGAAGTAAGAGGAGAAAATAGAATCATTAGAACGGTATAATTAGGAAGTAGTAGGAGAAAATAGACTCTTTAGGACGATATGAATAAGAAGTATGAGGAGAAACTAGACTCATCAGGACGGTATAATTAGGAAGTAGTAGGAGAAAATAGACTCATTAGGACGATATAAATAGGAAGTTGGAGGAGAAACTAGACTCATCAGGAGGATATAATTTGGAAGCATGAGGAGAAACTAGACTCAGTAGGACGATATAATTAGGTAGCATGATGAGAAACTAGACTCATTAGGACGATATAAATAGGAAGTTGGAGGAGAAACTAGACTCATCAGGAGGATATAATTAGGAAGCATGAGGAGAAACTAGACTCTTTAGGACGATATAATTAGGTAGCATGAGGAGAAACTAGACTCAACAGGACGATATAAATAGGAAGCATGAGAAGAAACTAAACTCATTAGGGGATATAATTAGGAAGTAAGAGGAGAAACGCCTAATAAAACAAAGAAACCATGCATATTCTTATCTGCTACTGCTTCTGCTACCTGATGAGTTTGGAGAATGTCCTGTAGTAAATACATGTGTTCGTTGTCCTGTCAGTTGAGCAGGGTTTGGAGCATGAACATGAAGAGGAGATATACGTCCTAATCCTTCCCCTAAATATAAAATCCTTTTGTTTCAATCTCTCTTCTTCATGTGATTGTTAGGATTTTACTAAATATGCGTTGTAGCTTTTGGAATCATCGTGTAAATAAGAAAAGTTATGACTGAAAACATATAAGATTTCAAATTTACATGCAATTTACTCCAGCTTAACGAGATTGGAGTAGCGTGGTCTCTTCAAAGAGAAAAGACCTGAGGAAACTTCAAAACTGTTCGGTCTATAAATACATAACATTCATATAAAAATTCACCTTGAAACATCCATTGTGCAACAACTTTACCATCTACTCCACGTATAGTTGGAGAACTGCTGCTCGGATATTCATCTAAATATTTAACATTAAAAACACCTTTTCTCTACATTTTTAAATTACTCCTGACAAGATATATTTTTATATGTTCATTTATTGCTTGATGTAATTAACAAACTTTTACAATATCCTAGTTGGCTATTGTAAAGGAGGACTCAATTAACTTCAGAAAATTCAAGTTCAAGTTTAATATAATATATTATCTATGATTTGAAACATTTGTTCGGATTTCACCAAATGTTTTTACAGACTACAGACTTGCAATATATTACAGATAGATAGACTGTAAAAAGTCGGATGGATGGATATTGGATACATATTACGTAATTAACAAATATACTTTTCATATAACATATATATAACTTAACTTTAACCCACCATAAATTAAATCCCTCTTTTTCCAGATGTTTTCAACCCTTTTTACCATATTTATATATGTATTCAAGACACAACATTTCTGCGAGAAATCCCGTTTTTAAGATTTCGGTATAATTTGATTTTCATTCATCCACTGTATTAAAGAATTAACTTTAAAGCATAAAGTATTATTTATTATTTATTAGATTTATTGTTATGTGTTCTTTTATAAATAGTTACAATTGGCCCTCAGCACCGGTATTGGGATGATCATTAGTTAAGGATGGTTTCAGAAGATTCCAGAACATTATTTTGCGCAGTCCTTGTCTTGTGTGCCTAGCCACTAGTTGGCCTTGAACCAAGGCAGTAACTTTTTGAGCAGGGATGGTTTTTTCCTCCCAAATTTAATCATTTTAGAAAAAGCATAATAAAAAATTAGGCAATTAAATTTTTTTTAAAACTAAATATATTCATTCATCCCTTCCACTTGTTGCTAGACTGCTTGAGTAACCCTGGAGAGCTGAAACTAGAGAGCTAGAGAGCTCAGCTCTCCACTCACGGAGAGCTTAATGCCGCGCACTCAAGATCTACGCAGCAAGATGCGCTCGAAGGCATGCTTCAGAGGAAACAGAACTATTCACGCAAACCAGACGTAAACACACAAAGAACCAAATAGGCTGCCTAGTGCCTACAGGTTTCCGTAGAAACAGGATGTTGAACAATAAAAATATGCTCTTACGTTTTTACAATTTCATTTCCAATGTATTCATTATAAAATTATGGATTGAGGAATTTTAGCAGAAAAAAAAAACAGAATGACATTTTTAAAGTAAAATTCTTCTTTTAACCCCTGTCTTAAAATAAAAACAAACAGAATTGACTCAGTGGGCAAGGTCACGTTTAAAAACTGTACTTTATAAACATAAACATAAGGTTTCTTCAGGGTAGGGCTAATGCTTCTTAAAAAAACTTTTTCTTAAACAATTTTAACTTGCTCTAAAATGGTGAAAAAGAGTTTAAATCAATTTTATTTAGAGTTTGTGCTACTTTCTAAAATAAATACAATACTAATTTTCCTCATAATTTTGATTAAAAATAATCTTGGAGAATATTGCTCAAGGTATAAGCAACATTTTTTTATCCCTAATATGTACACCAAATATTTAACTTGTTTTTACTACTTCATCCGAAATCCGTGTGTATTAAATTTAAGACAAGTACTTTTCAGACTTTTTTCCGTTTTGAAAATCTTTAAAGCGGTTTTTTCTTTAAGAATCTTTCAAAAAGTGTCCCCGAAAACTTGCTAATGGCATGGTCTTACATAATACACAAGAAAACAAGGAAGGTTTGCCGACAGAAGAAAATATAATGAATTTGCAACATTGCACAATTCTGGCCAGTGTCCAAACATAAACATAAATGCATGTTTACGTTAGTTATGACGTAGTAGATGAAATATTTGTACATAAATACTCTCAGTAAATTATGCATAGAACAACATCATATGCCTCTTCAGTATTATTGTACACTATACAGCTGGTATTGTATAGAAAAGTTTTGGATTAAATTCAGAATGAAAGTTTTGGAAACTTAAGATGACATTAATTAGATGTTTAGGAGTTTATTTATTAGAGTGAAGGTTAATGGTGGGTTGACAAGAAACTATGTCGGGCACACGGAAACGCATTTTTAGATTAAATCTAAGAAAAGGTACATGTTGAAGTATAGGTACATGTAGAAGTATAGGTACAGGTAGAAGAAAAGGTACATGTTGAAGTATATGTACATGTAGAAGTATAGGTACAGGTAGAAGTAAAGGTACAGGTAGAAGTATAGGTACAGGTATAAGTAAAGGTACAGTTATAGGGGGCCCAGAAAATGTAGAATTATATACCCGCATATAACAATCAAATTCAAATTCATTTATCATCAAGAATGAAAATAGATAGATAGAAATAAATTTATGTATAGTGAATACATCATATCTATATATATATATATCTATTTTTTATAAAAATGTAATATTCAAATGATGTCTAAGTGTACATAACACACATGTATGACAATTTGTATAATAAATTGTTTAAATATATGAATAAGGATAAAGATATGTATTTTGTATTACAACTAGAAGGTTTAATTTGTTTTAAGGGTGTTATTTAAATTCTGGTTAATTTTTCTTTTAACTTGTAATCTAGATTATTTGAATTAAATAAATAAAGAATGTGGAATCATAAATTCTTCAACATTGACTAGCAAAAATTATTGATGAATTAGTCAATTTTTACTTTTAATTTAAGCTAAAACCGCAATTTTTTAATATAAATGTCCGGGGCTCCAAAAAAGTATAATTTAGTTAGTAAAGTAAAACCAAAGACTTGAAAGTCCACTTGGTCCTCAAAATGTTATGGATATCTTTCATAGTTGTATGGATCTCTGTGACTCATGTAAGAATGTATAGTAATGGATGAGATGGAAAGAGTATTATATAAAAATATATAAGCTGCTCTCTAGAGCTCCGGGTGTAAAGAACTTGAGGCAGCCAGGCACACCTTCCTAACACAGCTTAACCTTGAACACAGGCAGAGGAACTACATGTAGATAGATAGATACATCCATAAGAGAATGAGATGGTAAAACAGTAGAAAATATAGATTATTGACACAAAAAGTGGAGAAACGATACCACACTTACCAAAAGCGCTGATGCAGAGTAGATTTATATGTTTATGTAAGTAAAAGCATTAAAACTATGCTATGCAAGTTTTTAAGATATTTGAAAAATTATTTCCTAAAATAAAGCTTCAGTTTCATAAAATTTGGCTTTGATGGACAAATCGTACCATAGTCTAATAGATATGCATAAAAATCTACAATGTGCACAATTTCACTACTCTGAATTGTTTACAAACAGGGAAAAAGAGAAACCCGGACAATATAGCCGGTGTAATACCATTTTCTGCTATCCATAATCTTTAATATATTCTGACTTACAGAAAGTAAGAAACTAGACATAAGCAGTGATACACCGGATATTTTATTAGTTAGCATCACAATTTACAACTAGTAAGGTAATATTAAACAGAATGAAGAGAGCTAGCATAGAATTTAATAAAACATAATGATGAGGTAATGAAATATTAAAAGCGTCACCCCCCCCTCCCCACTTAAGGTGGAGGGGGTAAATAGGGCACAAGGTCAGGGTCAGTCTATGAGGGGGGTATACTATTAACTATAACAAAACTGTCTGTTTACATATTTTATACTCTCTGAACAGATATTGAATTACAAAAATATAAGAATTCCTAGGTTTCGGCACGGTTTGAAACCTTAAACCTTGCATTCATTGTATATATAGGCAGTTTTCAGATCTTAATTACTCATTGATTTCATTTTTTAGGCAATTCAGGCCGACCTGGCAGATTTAACAATTCAAATCAGGAAAATTCTTAGGAAATCGCATTCAATGGTCAGGTACTAACTGTTTTAAAATTAATGGAAAAAATCAGAAATTCACAAAAACCCAAGAATTTCATCAGTTTAAAATTAAGTTGAATGTTATGTTTACTACGGATAATTTTGCTAAAGGACTAAGACAGACTTTTAACACTCTCATGACAACCACTATGTAGTGCCTAACAAGCTATGTGTATTTTGTAGCCCTAGAAAAAATATAATAAACAGTAAGAAGAGAATATCAGAGACAATTATCTTTGATATTGTTAAACCTCTATTATAATGGATGAATTGCGCAGCGATCTGATGATTATAGTTCTGAATTCCTTGAAAAGCTCCGTCTAGAACTACCGAACACGTCTGAGAATTGAGAATGATGTAATCACAACATTTGAATTTTCTCGTGGATTTTCAGTCAGACCTAGGGTAAAAAGGGCTTAGACCTGGGAAATGCACAAAAACACGACAAAAACCTCGCAGCGCAATACAAAAACCCGGGAAAAGTTGTAAAAAGTAAATATGTTCCGTCAACTCGTAGACGAACTGACCAGAAGGAAAAGTACAACGGTAAACAGAATTAAATCATTAAAAAAGGAAAAACTCTTAATTTTTTTCTTTTTAAGCTAACGCAAAACTTAATATATATAAATGATATATTTAATTATATTCTTATGAGAATGTTAATCATATTATAGTATGTATTATAATTTTGATTTATCTCTAGTAAATCTTACTTACTTACCTACTTACTAACTTTTAAAAATCCTAAAATTGAACCAATAAACAGATTTAATTCTCCGACACTCCATGATAAAATTCAAGGATGTAATGCAAGGAAAGTTATTTTAGAAGTGTACACATCTTTTGTACTGCAGTGTACTGTCTCTGGGCGGTAATGTAAACACAAGACGGATGTCAAAGCCTGACATGGGATCCATCTTTCACATAAATAATCAATGAAATATTCTGGTCATAGGAAACTATTATGTGAATTATAAAAATTATCAAAATTTAATGCTTTTAACCTCCTCGGATACTATACGAACACTGATGCATCTATTCTTGTTTACAAATTCCGCCCAAAGAAAACTGGTTTCATTATGTACGCAGAGTATACACGACCGCAATAAACTTTCCTTTCCTTACATTCTTGATAAAATTCAAATGTGAGATATTTTCTGATGTTTACATATATATGATTTCAGCCATTTTATAATAACGGCTAATAGTTTTCATTTATTTATACATCATACATGTGATATACTCAGATTTCAATGTCAGACAAAAGCCAGTTGATAACCTAGAAAATAATTTTGTTAGTTGCAATGAAACTTAACCCCTCCCCGCCCCTGCGAAATAAACTAAATAGAAAAGTATGTTCTAGCTGTATCGAAGAAAACTCGATCAAATGAAATCGAAGAAAGCATCATAAACCTTACTTATATACTGACATTATACTAATGTTGATATTCACAACGTATAGACGTAATAAAGAAACAACATTTAAAAGGGAGTGACCGTCAATGTATGGTGGTTGAGTATGCAGTATTGTAGAAAATCTTTTTAGAATTCATTTGAGACATATAAAACCTGTATATTTACTGAGTTTGAGTGCAAAGTCGACGTTCAAAATCATGAATTTGGATGGGCACGTCTTCAGAACCGTTTTTTAAAATTATTAAATAAACTTGTCAATAAATCAATTTTAGAATCAATTATTTCGTTTTCATCATTATACTTAATTTCTAATTTTCAAAATTTGCTCGCAGATTTCTACAAATTCTTTAAATGTCGTCTTTTCTATAAAAATTTCAGAAAATCTGCAGATAAATCTTTGTGAATAATGAGAGATTATAGAAACTAATAATTGAATAAGATTACTTATTTTCTATGATAAGAGTAAATTTTTATTTTCTCAACCTGTTCCTAAACAGCTAATTAGTTTACTGTAGAATTTTGTTTAAATTTTTTGTCGTCGTTATTTAATAATTAAAAAAAAACGATTCTGAAAACGTATCCAACCAAATTTATGATTTTGGACGTCGACTTTGCGCTCAAACTCAGTAAATATACGTCGTAGAAACGTTTTATTTGTCTCAAATGAATCCTAAAAAATTTGTCCGCAATACTACATATTCAGTTCAACCACCATACATTGCCGGTCACTCCCTTTAACAATGGAAAATTGGCTTGAAAAAGAAGGCCTTATGGTTATTTAACATCTGAATCCAAATGCCACCGAATTAAATTTTCTGATTTAAATATTGACATTCGACATTTAAAAAAAAATCATAATTGCTTAAACAATCATTCTCAGGTTTAGAGTGCAGTTCGCGTTTTTCATGACATTGACAACAGTGCAGAATGAAGCCATGTTAAACCCCATGTGAAGATTTAAAACTTTCCCACGATCTAGGTTGAAATTAGACGATTATAGGTCTAATTTTGGGGTGCATAATTTAAGCAATGAAAACACGTGTGTTGCTCTCATATAAAATTATTCAAGACTTTGATTTAAAAGGGTTACCATAAAAAATGTTGCAAAAAGATGTTTTGAAGGCGACCGGGTGTAGAGTTATATGCAGCTTAAAGACGGTTTGTATTGCTGAAACACTGGTTTTCAAGCCAGGTGCAACCAGTGCCTAAACCTTGCACCTGGGCATACCTTTGGTTTTATTTCAGTTTGGTACTATCAAAATTAAGAGGATTTTTCAAGTGATATTAATCAGTAATTTTTTACAATACACAGTAGTATAACGGGCAAACATTTTTGCATATATTAAATCAAGAATTTGTGGGAATAAAACGGATTATATACTCTTTAACGGATTTTTTTTGCAAATAAATATTATAGGCCCATTGCAGGGTTACCATAAGGATGAGACTTCAATGACGAACCAAAAATTTTTAAATGTGAAGATAAAAAGGTAGAATTTAGTCTTTTGTCTTGAATAAAGTCTATTTAAGGTATATTAAATAATCTGACAAAGAAAGAAACAACTTTAAAGCCAGAGAACCCTGGATCCAAGAAATAAGACTGCATATTTTCCATATAGTCATCTCTTAGATCTCATCCTTTGTATTAGGTTTATTTTGATAGAATTTATATATTTAATTCTTATTTTTTATTTTTTAAACAGAATTCGTAATGTAAAAGCTCCTATTTTTCAATGTCAATAACTTTTTTTAGATACACACTTTTTACTTATAGCATAATATAATTATGTTTTTTCTGTTTTGTGTATTTCAAGTCAAACATGCATAATTTCATGAAAACCTGACAAAACAAACTTATTTTTGAAAATATCCTGAGTTGGTTCCGAGGATGCATCCCGGAAGTTCGGGTATCCTCGGTCCAGGTCTACTGAACCCTCTTCAGTCTAAACACATATTAATCTGAACCCTCTTCAGTCTGAACACACATTAACCTGAACCCTCTTCAGCCTGAACACACATTAACCTGAACCCTCTTCAGTCTGAACACACATTAACCTGAACCCTCTTCAGTCTAAACACACATTAACCTGAACCCTCTTCAGCCTAAACACACATTAACTTGAACCCCCTTCAGTCTAAACACACATTAATCAGAACCCTCTTTAGTCTAAACACACATTAACCTGAACCCTCTTCAGTCTAAACACACATTAACCTGAACCCTTTTCAGTCTGAACACACATTAATCTGAACCCTCTTCAGTCTGAACACACATTAACCTGAACCCTTTTCAGTCTAAACACACACTTAACCTGAACCCTGTTCAGTCTAAACACACATTAATCTGAACCCTCTTCAGTCTAAACACACATTAACCTGAACCCTCTTCCGTCTAAACACACATTAACCTGAACCCTCTTCAGTCTAAACACACATTAATATGAACCCTCTTCAGTCTGAACACACATTATCCTGGACCCTCTTCAGTTTGAACACGCATTAACCTGAACCCTAATCAGTCTGAACACACATTAACCTGAAGCCTCTTCAGTCTGAACACACATTAACCTGAACCCTCTTCAGTCTGAACACACATTAATCTGAACCCTTTTTAGTCTTAACACGCATTAACCTTAACCCTCTTCAGTCTGAACACACATTAATCTGAACCATCTTCAGTCTAAACACACATTAACCTGAACCCTCTTCTGCCTAAACACACATTAATCTGAGCCCTCTTCAGTCTGAACACACATTAACCTGAACCCTCTTCAGCCTGAACACACATTAACCTGAACCCTCTTCAGTCCAAACACACATTAACCTGAACCCTCTTCAGTCTAAACACACATTAATATGAACCCTCTTCAGTCTGAACACACATTAACCTGAACCCTCTTAAACTTTAACACAAATGAATCTGATCGAACACCTGACCACATTTTACAAAACTATGTAAACACCTTGAATCCCATTTTTATTGTAAAATGTCAAGGAGTTAATGATGATGAAAGATCTGCTATTTATATAGATTTTTATTTAATTGGATTCCACATTTAACATGTGATGTGTATTGTGTATCTATTTAAATTCTAGTGATTATATAACTAGTAATATGCATTCAAATATTATATTGTTGCTGCCAGGCCTTTTTATACTTATTTATTGTAACTTCCGGCCCTTCGTTCACAGCTTTTGCGCATTTCCGGCACCCCCCCCCCCTCCCCTCATCTCCGTTACCCAAAAAATCAAGGCCAAACATTTGATAATGGAATTTTAATTAGATCATATATATTGACGAGAGTTGATTAGATATGTTTTGAACTTTTAGAACTATTAATTTCAAAGAGTATTGTATAATGTGTACATTGAACTGAATAACCTACCTTTAATTGTTGTAAAGTGTTTGGAAAGATATCTTTTCCTTGGACCTCCCTCTCTATGGGTCAGCTCCCCTCGGACCCCTGAGCTAGAGCAGGGTGACCTGCTAGGAGATCTGTCAGTAAAATCTGAACTGTTTGATAACCTACGGTCGTCCTGGTAACAGGACTCAGCCTTTATCCCACCCTCAGGACCCTTACAGGACAGGTCCAGGGGCAGAAGCTGATCAGTTTCAAAATTCATTTTCACTTCTTCACTTCACACAACCCGTTTCATCGATACAGTATTCTACAGTACATTACACTATTCGCGTTCTTCAAAAATTGTCAATTTCGTGTTGATTAACGACTTGATGAATGTCCGAATAAAAAGCAAGGGTTGCGACTGGAATTTAACTTGTTTGCGAGTTTTTCGGATTATATATTGTTGGCTTTAAAATCGACTGATGGGTAATATTTTGTCGACCAGGAAAACTTCGTAAATCACTAAATATTCCAACGCAACAGGCGACACAGCGACTACAGTCGAATCCAGACAACTGTCAGCTGTCAGCTTCACTCCCTCTCGCTGTCAATAAAAGACGAAAATTGATTACCAAAAAAATGATTGCTTATTTAATATTATTCAAAAATTTCAAGTATTTCCTGTCCCATCATCTTATGTTTTATATAGAAAATATTAATCGAAAAAAAAAAGGATTTTCTAATAAAAAAGTTTGCGTCTCTTGCCTGTATTTGTATGAATATAAATGTGTGTGTATGTTTAGCCCTGCTGGTCCTCTGTATACACTATATATATCTATATATATAAATGTATATACTAGCTGTATACTCTGCTCTCAGCACTGGCCTAACGTCAACTGAACTACAAGGGAATGATCTCTCTGTATTCCTAGACATCTATCTCTCATTAGCTCTCCGTCTCTCCCTCCTCTAAAACATACTCTGGCGTGGGCCTGAAGGCCTAAAAAACAAGTTCTATTCTTTTAGAAGGAATACTAGAATCGATACTATATATAGCTTTGTTATCATGTTACATAACTATTGGCTAAAACACTATGTCTGCCTAAATTAAAATGTTTTTAAACCGTCTGAAAAGTAAAAACTGAATGCGTGATATAAAAGTAATCTTTATTTTTTGTGATTAATTAAAATGATAGAGATACATTATTTGATGAATAAAATGATATTTAAGAGACGACATTACGGAGTTCATTCAGTGTGATATCCTGCAACTTGTAAACATGTTTAACATTTTTGTAAGTTCATTAAATATCATTGTATGATTTCGAAGGACATTTATTTTTTTATAATAACATGTACAATTCACAACGGTACCTCTAAACCAAATGTATGTGTAAAAAATTCCTTTTGCTCAAACTCAAACTTTTGGTACTTTTGTTAAGGAATACTGCAGTGAAAATTGACTCAAAGAAGTTCGTAGTAAGATTTCGATTCTACTGGAGACCACCGGAGGGATTTTATTTTCACTAGAAGGTTTTAAAAAAATGCTTTTTTACAATTTAAAACTTTACGCAGGGTGATTTACATTCCACTGCAGGGATTCAGATATCCTTCCAAGGGGTTTATAATTCCACTAGAGGGATTCAGATATCCTTCCTGGGGGTTTATAATTCCACTGGAGGGATTCAGTTATCCTTCCAAGGGGTTTATAATTCCACTGGAGGGATTCAGTTATCATTCTAAGGGGTTTATAATTCCACTGGAGGGATTCAGATATCTTTCCTATGGGTTTATAATTCCACTGTAGGGATTCAGATATCTTTCCTTGGGGTTTATAATTCCACTGGAGGGATTCTGATATCCTTCCTGGGGGTTTATAATTCCACTGGAGGGATTCAGTTATCCTTCCAAGGGGTTTATAATTCCACTGGAGGGATTCAGTTATCCTTCCAAGGGGTTTATAATTCCACTGGAGGGATTCAGATATCTTTCCTGGGGGTTTATAATTCCACTGGAGGGATTCTGATATCCTTCCTGGGGGTTTATAATTCCACTAGAGGGATTCAGTTATCCTTCCTAGGAGTTTAAAATTCCACTGGAGGGATTCAGATATCTTTCCTAGGGGTTTATAATTCCACTGGAGGGATTCAGATATCTTTCTATGGGGTTTTAAATTACACTGAAGGGTTTCATATATCTTTCCAGTGGGTATAATTCCTCTGTAGGGTGTTTCTTATTCCACTGTAGGGATTCAGATATCCGACTAGGAGTTCATATTTTCATTGTTTGATTCAGATATATTGGAAATCCATTAATAAACTTGGATACTAAAAACAACATCCATTATCAATTATCAATTAACAATTATCTAGGAAGGATAACTGAATCCCTCCAGTGGAATTATAACCCCCTAGGAAGGACATCTGAATCCCTCCAGTGGAATTGTAAACCCCCAGGAAAGATATCTGAATCCTTCCAGTGGAATTATAAACCCCTTGGAAAGATATCTGAATCCCTCCAGTGGAATTATAAACTCCTTGGAAAGATAACTGAATCCCTCCAGTGGAATTGTAACCCCCTAGGAAGGACATCTGAATCCCTCCAGTGGAATTATAAGCCCCCAGGAAGGACATCTGAATCCCTCCAGTGGAATGTAAATCACCCTGCGTAAAGTTTTGAATTGTAAAAAGCGTTTTTTCAAACCCCTCCAGTGAAAAAGAATTCCCTCCGGTGGTCTCCAGTGGAATCAAAATCTTACTACGAACTTCCGTGACTCGTGAAAATTTCTCTTTAACATACGCCAACCAACAAAAAAAAAGATTAAAAAGACAAGAAATTGATCAAATATGGTAGACAAGGTGGACACATTAAAATATTTTCTCAATGACTTCAAAATACAGAAATAACGCATACTTCAAACTTACTTTTGACCCCAGGAATGTTTTTTCTGTTATCCTGGGCAAATTTTATAACTATCTCATTCATTACTCTTAAAGTCAGCTAAACACCACCTATTAACCCCCCCTTTTTTCTCTCTCAGGCAAGTTTAGAAAAAAGTATTTGTATTGTTTACCGTTATTCGGGGCTTGATCGCTTAATGTGTCTATGGCCCGCAGATCTCGATATTTGGGTCTCTCTGATCTCTTAACTCCATATATAAAATGTCAAATTGTATTGATGATCAGTCCCATTTGTTTGCCCTCTTTTCCGTAAAGATAAAAAAATGTAAAAATCTTCATTAATTTTTTAAACTGTCAGATATAGGAAGGATAATATAAGCGTAGCTCCACTTTTTCTCTAATAGCGTAAATGGTGTGGAGTGTGCGTACGGTTGTGTGATGTGTAGAAGAATTTTTAAAACTTGAATACAGACCTAACTGTAATACAAGCTACAAATCCTGCTTATAGTAGACCTTAGATATACACACACGGTCGGATATCCATCCATCCAAATATCTTTCTATCTCACAAATAATAGAACTATCTATCTATCTCCAGTATATAAAAGATACATTTATCTATCTATCTGAGCCAAATACCAAGTTAAAGGTTCCGTTATCCTCACTGTCGAATTAACCTTTGTTTAAAACGCAACGATGAATTGAAGAACTTAGAACTTGTTCTTCTTGTTGTAATCTAAAAACAAGATAGTCATAATAAATCTATTCTAAATACTTTCCAATGATTTACTTTACTTTGAATGTTGGTTTACACATTTCATATTACAATAGAGCAATTTTTTTTAGCTATTCATGCAATAGAAATAGAAATATAGCAATTCCATGAATGACTAATGATCAAAACGTAAATCAAATGATCAAATCTTATTTTAATATTTATATCAATATTCAAAAATTACTTCCTGCTTTTTAACTATTTTCGATGTTAATTAGATGCAAAGGTCTTCGTAGGTATATGCATTAAGCACTTTTGAATAAATAAGCTTTTGCTAAAAACTTAAATTTTCCAATCCCTATATCTTTGCAACCCAATGCCATGGACCTTTGTTATTTCAAATAAATGAATTCTGTTAGATAAAACAATTTAAGCTAAAATAATATAAAAGGTTTACACCATCAGAATGAAAGGATATAGGGATTAGAAAATTTGAATTCTGGGGAAAAACTGGATTGCTTACTTTGTACGTAATGAAGGAAAATATAGAATATACAAGAGATAAATTCTAAAATTAAAAAAAACGTTCTTGATTTCTTTTGATAATATTTCCGTGCGTACGTGTTACTGTGTACAAAATAATAGTTCCATAAAGCTGATTTAAAAAAATGGTCTGAATAGATAATTGGATCTAAACTCTTGGTTAGTTGACCAACGGAAGAAATAAACGCAACAAGTGCGGTATAGAACCAACTCTTGCGTAACGATGGTTCCCACAATCTGTGACGCAATGAAGGCACAGGAGTTTTATTTCAGATAAACATTGAATTGCATCCGGATTAACATAATAGACCAGAGATCACTAATGGCCCAAGGGAAAGAAAGTGCAACCACGAAAATCAGTTTTTTGGTGAAATATTTATATATAAAATATATACTTTCCTTGTCTGTCTGTGTGTCTGATTGTTTGTGTTCAATAAACATCAAAACTGAACCAATCAGACCCAGCCCAAATCACCCCAGAGACGGTTTATGGATTGTCAAAATTTAAAAAATTTTCCAGGAAAAAAATATAATTAGTCAATATTTTTTAAATGTTTAACCGGAAAAATGTCGACATTTTTTTTTGAAGATTCACTAGTTAAAATAAAATGACGGAAAAAATTTTATATGATTAAAATTGGCTTTTCTGTCTGAAGCAACCCATATTTTCTTCAATGAAATTTAACATATGAGTATTATCTTAAATAAATTTGAAAATACTCGTTTTTTCTTAGTAGTCGACACTTCGAGGGTTTCTTAAAAAGCCACATTTTTATACATATGTACAGGGTTAACCACAAAGGATGAGACTTCAGAGACGACTGTACGGAATTTAATAGTTTTTTATATATTCGTGATTCCTCGTAACTGTATAAAGTTATTTTTTTATATATTCGTGATTCCTCGTAACTGTATAAAGTTATTTTTTTATATATTCGTGATTCCTCGCAACTGTAAACTTATTTTTTTTTATATATTCGTGATTCCTCGCAACTGTATAAACTTATTTTTTTATATTCGTGATTCCTCGCAACTGTATAAACTTATTTTTTTTATATATTCATGAAAACTTATTTTGTTCGCCAAATCATTAGATAAGCCATGAAAATACTATATTTTAGGCAGAAGAGTTAATTTAAATTTGGGATCGTCATAATTTAAGAGTTTTCGGTCGTCTTTGTGGTCTCATCATTTGTGGGTAACCTTGAATATTTATATATACACGAAATGCACAGTTTAAATAATATAAAGTATGGACGCTATACGCTTTTACGTCGTTAGTGACTGGTCTGAATTTGGTATTTTAACTTTTAAGAGTGAAAAAGTTGTATACAAAAACCTTTTGTGTTTTAATTTCATTTATTTGTTAACGAAATAAAAAATTTGACCTGTTTTCCAACCAATATATTCCGTGTTCATGACTTCTATAAATGTCGTCGTCAAAA